TACAAAGACCTAGTACTTAAGGATTCAATTCTATAGAACCTAATACATCTGGAATCTCAATAACAGTCATTCATACACATAAGTGCCCTCACAGCCTAAATGAGACATACACTTCATTAAGTCATCCTGAGTTCTTTATTCACTAAAGAGGCTTCTCCTGGTCTGGAGAGTGAAAGTGCTCCCCTGCATCTCTAATTTGTTGCCAGAGAAGAGCTTTAGCCTTGAGAAGACTTGGGTCTTTCTGCTCATCAATGACTGACAGCCCCACAAATTGGATAGAACTCCATAATACACAGCCAGTTGTCTCTGGCAACCAGCTTCAAGCCTTTTCTGCCCCTCCTAGTCTCTTGGCTTTCCATGAAGCACCATAATGAGATTCATATTTTCCACTTCATTGAAACACAAACTCCATCTTTTAATTAATTCATTCAAACTATTTGTACAAGTTATGGTAAGAAGTGGTTTAGTGCCAAGCAATGTTCTCCTTAGAACCATCTCTGAGAGAGGACTCCATCCAGGGATTGACTGTTGTAAAAGCATTTACACACCCCAGAATGAACCAGTTCACTTCCTGAGCAAATACGTTCTTGTCCAATGAGCTGAACTAATTTAAATATGAGTATTAAATTGTCCCATACAAGGAATGTTATTTCTGCTGTTGTCCACGGGGTATTCATCTCATCCTTTAGACTATGGCTAAGTACAACCTATTTCAGAAGCAGTACCAAATTCAGCTTTGCCAATTATCTGATAGTATGACCTCTGTAACTCAAAACATTTCCTTGAATATTATATTTTTATAGTTTTATGCAGTGTGTAATATTTATATTGTAAAAGCATTAGCAGAATATATTTGAATTCCCAATAGTCCTCTGCCATGTACATGTCTCCATCTCAGTGAATGATGCTATCATATACCTAGGTACTAAAGCATAAAACATGGGAACAATATTTTGACTTTTTCCTTTATCTCGTTCAAAACATCAGCAAGCCCTAGTAGTTATACTTCCAAATATATTTTGGATCTATCCCTTTTTTCCATGGTAGCCATCACCACCTAGTGTAAACCACTACCATCTTTTGCCTGGACACCTTCAATGTCCTGCTACATGATCATCCTGCTTTGTCCCCTTTTAATCCATTATCTACACAAACAATGAAGTTACCTTTTAAAAATATATATCAGGAAAAAATATATATATATATATTTATATGTCAGATAGCTCTCCCCAATTAAAAAACCTTTTCATTGCTTCCCATTGTACTTGGAGTAAATTCAAAATCTTTAATATGACCTGAAAGACACCATAACAGCTGTCTTTAGCAATTGTTCTCCTGCTAATTATGGATCTAAAGGTAACACTGGCCTTATTGTCCATTCCTAGAACAAGTCAACTGTTGCCTATACAGAGCCTCTATTTTACTGTCTCATCTCCATAAAATAGCATTCCCATAGTTCTCATATGGCTTCTCATCTATCAGTGCTCAGCCTAAAAGTCACCTCTTCAGAGGCATTTTCCATGACCAATTAGTTCTTACTGTTCTCTATTACACCACACGGTTTATTTTTCTTCATTGCACTTTATTATGATCTGTTTTAAGTATATATTTGTTTGCTTGTTCATATATATTTTCCTGACATTAACATATGCTTCACAAGGCAAGGAACTTGTCAGTATATTTTTTTTTCCTTGATTGATTAGTTCAAATAGCTCTCATAAAATAAGCTCTCAGTAAATATATATTTAACAAATGAATCAACATATATTTTTGTTCTCCATAAGCTCCTAAAGAATAAAAGCTAGTCTATTTATTGTTCAGCACTCCAAGGGTGTATATAGTGCCACTCATAAAAACATATGCTAATTAGTGAACTGACATAAGGAGCTCTCATTGAAGTTGTCAAGGCAATAACACAAAGCCTCATTCTCAAAGCTGATTCAGTTGTTTCGCTCTGCTTTTCCTCTTTCTTGAAAATCATTATAAATATATATATATATGTTCTACTGTTACAAAATGGCTTACAATGTAGTGTGAGAAACTAAGAACTAGTTTATCTAAATCCTTCTTAACCTTTCTATGTGATTAAAATGAAATAAGTATTATTAATGTCACACATTTTAAAAAAGGGTCAGGAACCTATTACTATTAGATGTAGTAGGTAAAAATATAATCAAATCACCAATTCTTTTTTTTTTTCCACCTTTGATTATAAGATAAGAGGCTCAAAAGGGACACTCTCTCAGGTTAAACATGGTCCATTTTATGTTCAATGACAACAAACATATTTGGACCCTAATTGATTGTTTTGTATATTTACACAAGGCATGTTGTGAGAGGCTGAACTTGACTTCAAAGCAGAGCAGGCCTACTACACACAGAACTTGATCTTCCTGCCACACTGTTCCATCATCCCCCGTAGAATTCCCACCTCCACCCCACACACATTTATGCTCATGATCATCAAAAACTGGGACAACTCTTTATGGATCCTTCCTCGTCAGGATTAATATATGAGAAGTGAGGACTCATCTCTTCTTGACATATTTCATCCTATCAATCAGAAGAGTTGAGGATAGGGTATATTTCCTATTAGTTTATCTGTCTTAACTTAGAATTTTACTAATTGTATGATTCAAAACCTTCTCTGACAAAATTGAGTTGTTGAATACATTTCTCTCAGATACATGTTTTAAGCAAAACATACTTGCTAGCTGCAACCAAAACATACTGTGGTAGGCAGCTTCTGACCTGGTTCTAAATATTCCCCACCTTCTGACTCTCAAACCTTTGTATAATCCCTTCCCTGGAGTGCGAGCTGGACCTAGTGACTTTCTTTTTTTAATGAATAGAGTACTGCAAAGATCACGGGATGTCACTTTCATGAACAGATTACAAAAGATGGTGAACTTGTTCTTGTTTGTTCCCTCTCTCTCTGGTTCTTCCCACATGCTTACTCTGATAAAGCAAGCTGCGGAGGCTTACCTGGCAAGGACCTTAAGGTAGTGATAACTAGTGAGGAATGCAGCCCCTCAGTCTACAAGCTCTCAAGGAAATGAGTGAGATTGGAAGTGGTCCTTCTCCAGTTGAGTCTTCAGGTGAGACCATAGATCCAGCTGACGTATTTGTTGCAGCCTGTGAGAGACCATAAAGCACAGGACCTTGCTAAACTGTGCTCAGATTCTTGACTCACAAAATGATGAGATAATAACTGTGTGCTATTTTAAGCTGATACATTCAGGGATAAGTTGATCCACAGTAATAGATTGCTAATATATATATATATATATATATATATATATATATATATATAATATGACATATCGATATATCATATAACATATATATATGTATAAATATAATGTTGTTTAACTTTTTTAAAGGGAGAAAAATAATAATATTCCATAGGAAAATTTCAAGCATGGTTATATAGTCATAAAAAGGAATTTAAGAAATATTTTATAATAATATGTGCAATTCAAGAAAACATAACTGCGGTGAAAGGAGGAGTGGAGTGTAAGGGGCAAAGTGTACAGGAACAGAAGTAGTTAACAAGATTTATTTTCCTGCAGCTATTCAAAAGGTACCAATTGATATTCTACAAATGCTACTTTTCTTTATGCTGCTACCCACTCTGCCTCTCCTGCCTCTCCATCCCATTTCCTATCTTATGAACCCACTGGTGGTTTCCAAGCAGTCTTTTCTGCTCTAATTAGCCCTAATGGTCTTTTGATTTCCAAGACTCTCAATGTGAATATGGGTCAAATGATGAGGTTGTACACACATCATCTGCATTTTGGTCCAAATGAGATTGAGAGTAGCATGAATATCTCTCCATGGAGAAAAAGGTAAATTCGGTCATTACTTAGATGTTAATGATGAAGTTCTATTGGTATTGTTAGTTATTTGTTTACTTCTGCCCTGGCGTTTTGTTAGAAAAAAGTTCTTCTCAAAGTTCAGCTAGAAGTTGTGGCTGAAGAATGTTGCCTGCTATATCAGTAAACAAAGGATGTTGTGAACATCAAGTCAGCAGCCACTGCAGCAAGCCCTGACTGTGCACCCTGAGTGGATTTAGGATGGAGAAAAGGGGTATACTGGCCCTAGATAGTTAAGGTGCATAACAAAGGAATGATTTCAATAAGCCAAGACTCTTGCATCTTTCCATACATAGAAAAGTGCTAAATTCATTAATTTGAGAAGTCTGGTTTTCTTTAATTAACAGTAATCTTTTGATGTTCCAACTACCTGGTTTTTGTTGCAAAACCCCTATGTATCCTGGCTCCTCCCTTACTTCTTCAGAGCAGTTCTTCAGAGCTGAGAGGCTGCCTCTCATGCTTGAGTTGTCAGGAAGTCCACTGAATAAAACATAATTCTCAGCTTAGGTTGTACATGTTTTTTCAGTTAACACAGAACATTAGAAATACTATTGGGGTAATTTAAGATGTCATACTTTGCCAAATAAAGCAGTGTTTTTTTGAAGATGCTAGGCAGACATGGTTAATACATAAATCAGGTTCATGGTGCTTTGTATCAGTTCAATTTCCACCATGATTCTTTGATACTCCCTCCCCCAGCCCTCCATGTCTTTTGGAGAGTAGCGAGTTACCAAAGAGCCTGAAATACAAGTCAGAAAGTTTTGACTTGCAAAGGATACAGGGACTTTACAGAAGCCTGACTTTTCAAAGACTGGGTCAATTTACAAGATGCATTGTCCTCAAAGTAGAGAAGTCAAAAGGATCCAAGTTTGCAGAGTTCTGATCTCTATGCTGATATTGAATTTTTACATGGCCTGGGGCCAGATGTTGAACCTCACATGGTTCCTCTCCTATTTATCTGTGAAATGGAGATGAAAATTCTGAGCCACAAAGTGATTTGGTGGGAATTAAGTAATATCTTAAAGCCCTTTGTGACAAGTGTTCCCTTTTAACTTCTATCAGATGTTATACAGTTTTCCATTTAGGTGAAAATTAACTTGAAACATATCAAGCTTCAGTTTTGACCTAATCACTTGTTGACTAGTGGTTCTAAAAATTCAATTGTGGGATGTCTGAAACAGCAAATATGAGTGGCCACAGTGCAAGCTCATACCCAGAGTAGTCTAGGATAAAACTGTGACTTTGAAGGCACCCTCCCCAATAGTCCCTCTCACAACTCTTGTCCTCCCAAGCAAATGCTACATGAAGTTTGCCTGAAATTTAGAATATTGTCCTTCTTGTGACTTAATTGCTCCTAAGCAAATCTAGAATATGTATTTTGAAATTTCCATTAACAACATAAAATAAAACAAGAGCAATTGTTTATTCTATTAGCATTTTTTTCTTCAAATAATTTTTACTTACACTGTTGAATAATTCCTATCCAGCAGGCCAAGGAAATTCTTTAAATGCCAGAAAGCAACCCACAGACACATTCAAAAGGAGCTAGAAAGACTTCTAGAGAAGGTGAAGTTCTGACACATCACTTAAAAGCAGTATAGAAGAGTAGTTAAGAATTTGGATTCTGGGATCAGACTCTGAGCTCAAAAGAAGTATAGCAGAGTAGTTAAGAATTTGGATTCTAGGATCAGACTCTGAGCTCAGATCAGTTACAGGCAGTGTGTACTTGGACAAAGGAAACGCTTATATTTTTATTTTATTCTTTTCTGTAGAGAGTTCATGAGGTCAGCAAAGATGTGTTATTTCCTGTTATATCTGAAGCATCTAACATAACACATATTTGGAGCTTGATGAGCATTTGCAGAATGTATCAGATTAATGAACTAAGGACTGGGCTGCTTCACAATATTCTTAGAAAAGTGTGGATTAATTTGATCCCCAAAAAAGATACCCTAGAAGGTCCTCACATGGAAGATTGGAAAAGGGAAAGATGGCTCTCCAGGGTCTTCTGCAAATCCCACTGGCAGTTTTCTAAGTATTTGCTTCACCAGGATTTAGAAGAAGCTTCTATTCAGAAACACAGTAGTTACAGATGCAGAATTGCTGCAGAAGAAATTGTGTACCCTAGCAGAGGACAACGCAGTGGTCTCTTTCAAGCCAATTTGCTTAGGCAAGTACAAATCTCTCACACAGAAACAGAATTACATTATCCTCAGTCTCACATAAACTTAAGTATAAGCCAAGGCTGCCCAAAACCCTCTGCTGGCCTATTCCTTTCAACGATGGAGAACGGCGTTCAATGTGCCCACAATGCTGATGTAATATAACGTGCAATTGACTTCCAGTATTCAAAAGGACTCCAGCTTTCAGCCCTGTGAATGAACTAGGTTGGAAAGACCTGCAAAACAAACCCAAAGCTATTATGCTGTGGCTGATATAAAAAGTGAACTTGGGATTTTGACCAATTAATGCTGAAGCTGTGCCAAAACCTCTAATACCAAATAAGTCTTATGCCAATAATCAGACAATGCTGTTTGGTTTCCTTTAAATCTACTTTTTAAGCTACTGTTTATTTTTTTTTCCTCCAAGTTGGATTAAAGAAAATAACCAGCCCTGTTATTTGTTACCAAATCTGTTTTTTGGCTCTGTAATGACTTTGAGAAATGGTTGCCTGAAAATATAGATGCTCAGTTTTAAATAGGAGAGCCAACATACTCGTAGGGATCCACTTATACAAAGAGCAATGTTGGGTCATAAACTTAAGAAAAAGTCTCATCAGGCAGTCAAGAGACCTAGGTCTGAGTCCTTGTACTGTCATTATCCAGCTAGATGACTTTAGGAAGTTCATTACCCTTTTTGGGGCTTTGATTTTCTCATGGGAAAAATGAAAAGGCTGTACTACCTGATCTCTAAATTGACCAGGTTATTGCTACTGCTTCCTCCAAGCCATTATTATAAACTCTCATTCACTGAAGGGACATTTGATTTATGCTATAAAAATAATTTTCCAGAGAACTCGACATTTCATCTTCATGCTCATTTCTGAAGTAACACAACTTTAAGAATCGTATTACTGCTGTCTTCCCCAAAGACAAGGTAGTCAGACAGTAAGTACCCGGAGAAAGAAAACCAAATATGTGTTAAGTAGGAGACCAGGAAAGAAACTGCCTAATGTACTGAGGCTATAAAGTGATCTTTCAAGGTTAAGTCCAGTGCCTCCTAATTAGTTCCTCAGCAATTTACCCCCTGCTGTACAGGATCTTCCCTCTGAAAAGGAGCTACAGAAATGCAGAAATGACAAAGACACTGGGTTTCCAGTCCCAGGCCTGCCACTCACTAGCGGTGATCTCATCTGAAAAGAGAGCATGAGACCTAACTTACTGGGTTCCTGTGAGGGCTGGAAACCACATTTTATAGAAAAGTAATTAGCTCACAATAGATGACCAGTACATCTGAATTTAAAATGAGTGAACTCTGTTCCCGTTACCACTTGTAAACTGTAACTTGTACTGTAAGTTTCTGGAAGCATTGATCTAATTGGAGGAGGAGGGAAAAAGTTAAATCTCTGTCCCACAGCCCTTTTGTAAATAATACCAAAGAATTTTTGGTCCCAGCTTGTATTGGGCAATTCTGTAGTGGTGGTGGGACTGGGAGGGGAGAATAATTTTTGACACCTGAAGTCCTAAAATTAAATTTCAAGAAATGCTAGGCTAGGAGTGTTTCACTAGATTTTCTTGTAAGCAGTATAAATGATGTTCCTAGATGTACAGAATATCAATCTAGGATTTGTGGCAATAAAAATAAGTTTTAAAATTCTCATAATACTTCTGATGAGACACTGGTGAATCTCAAATAAGCCATTCTACACCCTATCACATACTACTGTAGATTTGCACTAGAGTAAAGAAAACTTTCTCCATATTTTCAGATCCTGATTTCTTCTAAGATCATTTATTATACAGTATCTGTAGTCTTCATGAACTGTTTCTTTAAGTTCTGGTAGACTTTTCTTATTGTAAGTAATAGTTTGTGTGTAAACAATGTTTTGACGTATTTATACATTTATTTTGTAACTTAGAGAATAGTAACAATCTTTAATCTAATCATCAAAAGCTTACAGGTTCTTTCATTTCTGTTCAAAGGATTATTAGATATTTTTCAATGACCCAGGTGAGGACAAAGCGGCATACTTATAGAATTAGAAGCTGGGGTAGAGCAGAAGGCTGTAGACCTCCAGTGTGTCTGTCAAAAAAAAAAAAAAAGTAGCCACAGATGAGACCAATGGTGAGCAATTCTTAGTTACAGCAGTTGTTGATGAGCAATTCTTAGTTACAGCAGTTGTTGATTTCTATGAGTGCCAATATGGGGTAGTTAGAATAGGTTGACAGAATACAAAGTCTAGGAATACAGAAATAAGCAATATTCAGAAATGGAGATGGGCAATCGGTAATTGACAGCTCTGGTTCATGTGACAACTATTTTGACACCTCAAAGACACATAGCGCTAACTTCTTGTGTTATGATAAGTTGATAACCAAATGGTTCAATGGAAATCATGATTGAGACCTCAGGTTCCATAGACTCTATGGATTCAGACTTGTCTGAGCATGCTTTAAAAAATTGTTGAAGTGAGCTCACTAAAGCTATATGTGGGGCTTCCCTGGTGGTGCAGTGGTTAAGAATCCACCTGCCAGTACAGGGGACATAGGTTCGAGCCCCGGCCTGGGAAAATCCCACATGCAGTGGAGCAACTAAGCCCGTATGCCACAACTACTGAGCCTGAGCTCTAGAGCCCCCGAGCCACAACTACTGAACCCATGTGACACAACTACTGAAGCCTGCACACCTAGAGCCTGTGCTCCGCAACAAGAGAAGCCACCGCAATGAGAAGCAGCAATGAAGAGTAGCCCCCTCTAGCCACACCTAGAGAAAGCCCGCGTGCAGCAACGAAGGCCTGAAGCAGTCATTAATATAAATAAATAAATAAATAAATAAATAATATTTTTTTAAAGTATATGTGTATCGATAATCAAGGGACCTTATGGGAAGTTATCCTAAGGAAGGAGAGTCAAAAGCACACATTTGACTCACTGTCAGTAAATTCTAAATGAAGCAGAGAGCCAGTTTTAAAATTGAATGATGCATTCTATTCAAGTTGGTCCTCAAGATATCAATAGTTCTGTGACTTGTTCCTCAGTGTTTTGAGAAGTCTGTCAACAACAACAAAAAAAGTTTAGAATGAAAGGTTCAGCACACAGAAATCTCTACAGGGATTGAAAGTATATGGCAGCAGGACTTTTGAGCGCGCTAATCAAGTGAAAAGAGATCATTTTTCCCAATTCAGTACAAGAGAATAGAAGCAATAAATTGAAAAGTACATCATTCTTTGGAATAGAAAAAAGACAGAAGATCTTCTATGTATAGGTAACAACATTTCCCAGGGAGCTTGGAGAGGATTAGCCACATGCCAACATTGGAAGCAAAATGGTAATACTGGGGACAACACCAGTGGACTGCGATAGACTTATGCTCTAGCATATGAGAATAGGATGGGTGAATCAAGTCTTTTTTCATTGTAAGTGGCAGACATCCATTCAGACAAGCACAAGGAAAAGGAGGAACACATTGGCAGGTGCAGAGATAACTCATGAAACTTAAATGAGGAAGTGTCAACAACATTTACTGGATTGAGAAAATAAAAGAGTTCAGAAGACAGTTTTCCTGCTTTTACATTTCTTCTTCTCACTATACTATGCTTTCATTCTCTCTGCAAATTGACCACTTTTGTTTCGCCAAGAGTGTTGTGGAAAATGAGCACCACCTTGCTGTTTCAAAATCTAGCTCCAGAGCCATTAATCTACCAGCATCCCAGTGACCCAAATAAAAATTCTTATGAGGGAAAATCTAACTGTGAGTGTAGATGGTCCAACTATCTACACTGGTTAGATAGTCCAACTATCTAAACTGGTTTCTTCTAGTACTAGTTCAGAGAAAATGAGGGAGGGAAAGAATTGGAGGTTTTGCAATTCTGCAGTCAATGTCTGAGACTGAACACTAATTAATGTGACACTCTTATGTTTTCTAGAATGATGATGCCTCAGAAACATACCACAGAGCTGAGGTCCAGAAGAGGTAGAAAGATCATTAATTTTTTTTCTTTTTTTATTATCATAAGTCAAAAAGAAATTTAATACCAGTCTTGAAAAAGTTTGATTACTATTTATATATTAAAAGGTTAAAGAAAGGAATGATTATCAGATTTAACATTAAAGAATCATGCCATGGTCCACTTGTGTGCAAGTCATACATAATCAAGGCATTGTTCTATAGACACTCAACCATCCCTCCCATACTTTAGATACAAGCTTCACAGTATTTTTTATGTCAAACATTATAAATGTAATAGACCAAGAGATTTTCTATCATGGTCATCACCATAGTGGCAAGAAAAAATTCACATTTTAAGTGTCAGAGAATTTGTATTACACAGCTACTCCATAAAATAGAGTTCATTTTGCCAGATTTACTTTCCATTTGAATTAAGCTAAGGTAGAAATGATGAAATTATCCTCAAATCATGGAACACTATGTTGGAAGTGACTTGAAAGATAATATGGTCAAGTGATTGCCAAACATATTCAAATATGAGGACCTCTTTCAATGATCAAAATAAAAAAGTCTTACGGATGAGCAGTTGCTCAGTGTAATTGATTGACAAACTACATTATGAGAAATAACTACTATAAATTGAGAAATGCTTTTTGAAAAATTTTATTGCATTAAATGCACTTCACTTTAGTATATTAAATACATTTTATTATATTAAATACACTGTGTGTTTTGCTTAAGTGAGTAAATCATTAGACCATTTATAAATAAAACTTGGAATTGAGACCTTTTAAAAGTAACTCTGCATCTTTCAGGAACCCATGTACACAGATTAGTAATCACTGTTGTTTCACACATCTCATTTTATGGGTGAAGGAACTAGAGTAAAGAAAACTGAATGAGCTGCTTATATATTTTGGAGATTAATCCTTTGTCAGTTGTTTCATTTGCAAATATTTTCTCCCATTCTGAGGGTTGTCTTTTC